GCAGCTTCATTGCTGTTTTACCCTTACTGCCCCTTATCAGTGATGAACGTGGTCACCAATCAGAGCGTGTATTCCCATTGGGTCTTAATCTTGGAAGGGGGTTTGCCCTGAGGGGACCCGGCCACTTGCCTTGATGTCTCCTGGGCAAGCAACTTGCTTGTTCTTGTAGTAATCAGTCAGTTTGCCTATATTGTTTTGTATTTTTCCTGTTGGTCTTTCTTTCAAGAAGTAGCTTCTGTACTTCTAGCCACTCCAAGCTGGTCTGCCCGTCCTTTCAAGTGGAAATTTCCCACCTCTGAAGATTCTGGATGTGGTTCAGGAGTCCACCTATAGTCTTATGTAATATAGAGGTTCCGCAGGAAGCCTCCTTCACTGGGCACTTTTTTAGGTATTCCAATCAGTTATAGGCAGAAGACCGACACACAAGCTTTCTGTGGTGATATTTCTGGCTATTCCTTTCTCTCCCCACTCAAGTGTCTATTTTATAATGGTATGCCAGGGAAACCAAGATTCAAAAAACAAGCCAAGCATCTTAACATTATTTCCATTTACTAACTTTTAAAGGTTCTGTTTGATTATATTTTGTAGTGAGGAATATGCTCCTTTAAGGATGAGAGTCTAGTAAAAGTGCAATTTCCCCAGGTAAACAAGAACTTTTCAAACTGTGATGCGACATTAGCAGAGCATTTGTGAAAGCTGGTTTCTAACCTTGACTTACTTACATACTTGTTTTCATACCAAAACCCAAACCCACTGCCATCATGTACTTTCCAACTACTAGTGACTCTATTTGGTGTTTCCATGGCTGTAAATCTTTAGGGAAGCAGACAGTCTCATCTTTCTCCTGCAGAGCGGCTTGCTGGTGGGTCTGAACTGCTGACCTTAATATTAGAAGTTCAGTGCTTATTCTACAGTGCCACCAGGGCTCTTTAGGTCATTGATTCCTCAAAATACCCGGAACACGAGTATAATTTATCTGGGCATAGCACAAAGCTGTTAACACAGTGCTTTAAACATAGTAAAGTTAATTGTTTGAAAACACAGTTCCAATATTTATGGTATATTAACAAGCTGAAGATAACTCAAAAATGGTTGCAACAGGACATTGACAGACAATTGCCAGAAATTCAAGTTGGATTCAGAAGAGGACATTTAACTAGGGATATATTGCTGATGTCAGATAGCTTTTGGCTAAAAGCAGAGAATACCAGAAAGATGTTTGTTGTTACTGTTGTTCAGTGCCATTGAGTCAGTTCTGACTCACAGAGACCATGTATATAGATAGGGTTTCTCAGGAGCTGCTGGTGAGTGTGAGCCGCTGACCTGTGGTTCAAACTGACCTTGAGGTCTAGGGCTTATCCTACAGAGCCACACTGAGTATGCAATGGCTTTCAACTGTGTATATCATGACAAACTCTGGATAACATTGAAAGGAATGGGATGTGCTCACAAGGAACCTGGGCATAGACCAAGAGGCAGTCGTTGGAATAGAACAAGGGGATACTGAATGGTTTAAAATCAGGAAAGGTGTATGCCAGGGCTGTCTCTTGTCATTATGTTTATTAAATCTGTATGCTGAGCAAATAATCTGAGAAGCTATATTATGTGAAAAAGAACTTGGTATCAAGAGTGGGCGAAAGTCTCATTAACAACCTGCAATATACAGATGATACAAACTTGTTTACTGAGAAGAGAGGAGGACTTAAACTACTGACCAAGAACAAAGACTACAGCCTTCAGTATGCACTACACCTCAACGTAAAGAAAACAAAACCCCTCACAACTGGACCAATAAATAACATCATGATAAATGGAGAAAAGACTGAAGGTGTCCAAAATTTCATTTTGCTTGGATCCATAATCAATACTCATGGAATCAGCAGTCAAGAAATCAAACAACATATTGCATAAAGCAAATCTGCTATACAAGACCTCTTTAAAGTGTTAAAGAGAAAAGCGATCAGTTTGAGGACTAAGATGAGCCTGACCCAAGCCATGGTATTTTCAATCACCTCATATGTATGTGAAAGTTGGACAACGAATAAGATGGACCATAGAAGAATTAATGCATTTGAAGTATGATGCTGGTGAAGAATATTCAAAGTACCAAGGATTTCTAGAACAAACAAAAGGCATAGCCAGAATGCTCCTTAGAAGCAAGGATGGAGAGAGTCAGATGGACTGACACAGTGGCAGCAACAACCGGCTCAAAAGTATCAACTGTGAAGATGGCGCAGGATTGGGCAGTTTTGCTTTGTTGTGCACAAGGGTGCTACGAGTCGAAATTGTTCTATGGCACATAACAAAACAATTGTTGTTGTCATGTACCGTGGAGTCAGTTTCGACTCAGCGACCCTGCGTAGGGTTTCCGAGGCTATACATCTTTACTGGAGGCTAAAACCTTATCATTCTCCCTCGGAACAGCTGGTAGTTTGGAACTGCTGACCATGAGATTAGCAGCACGATTCGTAAACACCACGCTACTACCACAGCTCCTTGTAACAAACAATAGGTTACTTTTATTAAAATACCATCACAGGGCACTGGAGTCCTGATATGGCGCTGTAGGATAAGCACTGGACTGCTAATTACGAGGTCGGCATTTCAAACCCGTTCAAAGCCAATAGCCGCTCTTTTGAAACCCTGTACAGGTCGCTATGAATCGTTCCAACAATCGGCTAATATTTCAGTTACAGCTGAAAAATTTTAAAGCACCAGCTTTTGAGTCTTAAATTAAAAAAAAAAAAAAAAATTCTAAGAAAGCAGCTTCGCGCCCTCCCGCCCTCTGTTTTATACCTTTCATCATATACAAGAAAGTACTCGGTTTTTCCAGTGTCGAAGTGAGTTGAGTCTCCGCAAGGAGGGCAGGATACAAGAACTCTTGTAAGAGTTCAGGTAACTGTGTTCACCCAATGCGGAAATAACCAGTTTGGGTCTTAAAGAACGGTTTTCTCTCAGCCAGGTGCTGTGAAACCTACGTTACCGTCTTCAGGCCTTGTGAGGAGTACGAGGGGGGTGGAGGAGCTGACTTGCCAGAGGCTCGCGCTGAGCCGGGTCGCCCCCTTGTGGTCTCCCATTGGTGGGAACCGTTTTTGGTTTCCGCGCACAAGAGTCACAGAGCAATCACACGCAGCCGGCCGCTCAAGGCGGGGCCGTCTCCGCCCAACAGTCGCGACGCCCGGCTCCGCAGGTCGCGAGCGCGCGGGACTGGTGTGCCAGCCGAGGTTCGGATGAAGACCTAGAAAATGACTTCGGCGCATGCGCCACAGCGGCCGTTATGGAACGCAAAACGGATACATCAGAACTGGAGACCGGTCGTGAAGGGGAGCAAAGCCCACGCCGGTAGGGAATGCCGTGGTTGAAGACGCGGACGCGCACGCAACCAGGAGGCGGTGCAGGTGCGGCAGTGGGCGGGTAACGTCACGTAGCTACGCGTGCGTGGGCGGCAGACTCGGGCTAAGAGTTAAATGCTTTGTCTGCGGGCTTAGAGAGTGGTTGGTTTACTTGGCTGCTCCTTGAGTTTCCATTTGCACGTGTTTACTGAACGGTAAGCGATACGACGACCTATGCTCAATAAAGACATTAACCTTGGCTGGTAGGAAGAGTTCAAAGACATGTTGCCCAACTTTCAGACTAAACGCTAGTTTTAAGTTGTTGCCAAAAGCAGTTGTGCAATGGTGGTGGTAGTTGCGTGGCACCAAGTGGATTCTGACTCATGGCGACCCTGTATAGGGTTTTCGAGGAAGCAGAAAGCCTCATCTTTCAGCGGAACCGCTGGTAGATTCGAACTGCTTATCTTGAAATTGGCCCAGCTCATAATCCACTATGCTATCAGGGCTCCTTAATTGTGTAATGTTAAATGCCGTACAGTTGGTTCTGACCTTAGCCACCCTGTATAGGGTTGCTGAGGAGCGGCTGGTGAGCTTGAACCACCAACCATGTAGGTTCAAACCGACTTTGCAGTCCAGCGCATTAACCCACAGCGCAACACCAGGACAACAATGTTAAGTTCCGTCTCATCGATTCCGACTCCTAGCTGCCCTTTATAGAGTTTTTGAGAAGCAGTTTGGTGAGCTTGAACAGCCGACCGAACAGTACCACACCAGGACTGCAATGTTGTTAAGTGCCGTCCAGTTGGTTCCGACCCATAGCGATCCTGTATAGGGTTTCCAGAAGCACCTGGAGAGCTTGAACCACCAACCTTGTAGTTCAAACCGACTTTGCAGTCTTGCGCATTAACCCACACACAGCACCACACCCCAGGACTTCATATAGGACTGCAATAGAGAAGCAAAATTTAACTCCTTGAGTGAATTTGATATGTAAATGTTTCTCAGAATCTTGCCTTTAGCTTTAAACAAGTACTGATGAGGCTCCCTTTCCTCTACAAATTTCATTTTGACCGTGTGTGACCAAGTTATCTAAAGCAATTTGGACCAAGTTTAGGGTTTTAGCAGTGAAATGGGCATAACTGATTGAATTATTCACTTTATTTTAAACTAACAATAAAAGGAAAGAATGGATGTTATTGCACTGTTATATTCAGACTAAGAAAGAAATCCACCTTGATATTAGACCTTTTGATCTTGTAAGGCAAGTAATTGGTGCTTTCTAAGCCTCTATGTCTGAAACAGTTGTTTAAGTGCAGTGGAATTGGTTCCAACTCATAGCAATTCAGTATAGGGTTTCCAAGGCTGTAAATCTTTTCAGGAGCAACAAGCCTCATCTTTTCCCAATTGAGTGGCTGTTCGAAGTCCTGTGCTTACCCTCTAGAGCCCCCGTTACTGAATAAATTTTTCTGTGGATTAAACATGTATAAGGAGAGAATTGGGTTTTTTCCCCTTCCTTTGAGCAGCCATTTCCTCCAGGGTTCTTCCTGCTTTATAAAAACAGACATTTTGTGTTTATAGTAGAGTCATTCATAATTCTTCTAAAATTCTACAGCGCTTGAAGGATACATCTACATCTGTGTGTTTGCTTCCAACTGGATTTAGTTCCTAATGGACGAAAACAACCTACAGGTAGGTTAAGAACAACCCCAGTTCTTAACAGTTATATGACTTGCAAGAGTTACCCCTGTGGTATACCTTGGAGGTAATTACAGGCAGAATCCTAGCATTTCCTAGTTATTTGTTGAGCTAAACAACACTGCATAGATGAAATCACATTTGGCTAGTACAGCTGAGGGAACTCATCTTTTAAAATTGTATAAGTGGCTAGCATTTTTTCCTACTGATAGCATAGCTCCAGTTAGCAAGTGCCTTTTGACTTTACTACTCATTTTTGTTAAGAGCCATCGAGTCAGCTCTGGCTTATAGCAACCTTGTATAGGGTTTGCATCAAGCAGCTGGTGGGTTTAAACTGGTGACTTTGTGGATAGCAGTCCAGTGCTGATCCCAAGCACCACACCAGGAATCCATAGAGTGCTAATACTTATTAACAGTAGTAACAGCTGTTGTGGATTTACCTCACTAACTCTTGCTTTTTTCTAATGAGATTTTTATAAACATTTCCAACCTCCTGCCTTCCCCAATCCCAGGCTTTAGCGCTTCACTCCTCAAAAGGTTCCATGTGACTAGGAAGCATCTAATTGTTTTTATTGAATGCATTTGTCAGTTCCATTCAGCTGGAACCAAGCCATAGGCACATACAGCCAGATTCTCACTTAATAAAAGACATGAGAAGAATCTTAGACAAATAAAAGTTCAACTGTGAAGGAATTGCATTGTTATTTACGGATAACTCAATTTTAAGGCATTGAGGTCAGAGTGGTCTCCAAAGTGGGGAAATAAAGGTACTTCTTCATCCTTGAAGAATTGGGATCGTGCTGCTTTTGATGGCATAAGGAAAGGAGGATTTACTTTAGGGGGCTCAGTTTGTCATTAATTCAAGGGTTGTGAGGCCAGAGAGGAGACCGGGAAAGAAAATTCTTGAAGAATTGCGTGATTTAGAGGGTTTTTTTTTTTTTTTTTTTGTATACTTTCAGTGTCAAAATGTTGTTGATGAGAATTTTGAAGACGTTACCAGCACAGTAATTAAGTTTAAGCCTCCGCTGTACAAACAGCGGTATCAGTTTGTTAAAGATTTGGTGAGTCAACATGAACCCAAGAAGGTGGGTACATTTCTCTTTCCAAACTTTCAATTACCGTAAGTTTATGAAATGTTTCAAATGTGAGCAAAATCTTGACATTATATACTTAGATGATGTTGTATTATTTTCTTAGGGCTGCTGTAGCAAAATAGACAAACAGGACTTTTTATTGTGCTTCAGGAAGGTACTTTGTTGAGTTAGTGTATGAGCACCATTTTTCCCACGGCGTGTGCTCCTGTTGTGCTTCTGTGTCACATTTCGGCAATTTTCACGATATTTAAAACTTGTTCAGAATGCTATTGCAACCTTAATAGACTACAGTAAAGTTGTAAACATACCTTTGCTATGCACTTGGAGACCAAACATCTGTGTGACTTGCTTTATTGTGATAATCACTTTATTATGGTGGTATGTTGTTGTTAAGTGCTGTGGAATTGGTTCCGACTCTTAGTGACCCTGTATAGGGTTTCTGAAGAGCGGCTGGTGAGTTTGAACTGCCAACTTTGTGGTTCAAACTGACTTTGCAGTCTAGTGCATTAACCTAGTGCCACTGGAACCCACAAACAGGGTGACTTTTTTAAGAACAGAGATCTGTTTTCTCACAGTGCTGGAGGCTAGAAATCTCAGAAGGCTTTTGGGAAGAATCCTTTCTTGTCTCCCAGCTATGAGTAGCCTCAAGCATTTCTTGGCTTGTAAATGTGTTTTTACATGGCTGTCCTTTCGGTTGCGCTATGTGGGGACTTCAAAAAGTTCATGGAGATAATGGAGAAATTCCATTATCTTTTAATTCTATTTTTCCACAAACTTTTTGAAGTCCCAATATATCTTTTCCTTTTTTTATAAATGTATCACTCAGATTTGGTTAGTACCCACTCCACTATGACCATGTTATATCAACTGATAACATCTTCAGAGATCACAGGTGCGAAGGGTAGGACGTCAATATATCTTTTTTGGAGGCGCAATTCAATTTATAGCAGATGGCGATCTTTATAGGTTCTGTATTTCTAAATCTTGTCAGAAACTAGTATTGTGGCCACATTATTATGATTTCTTTAAAATTAGATGATAATGAGCTTGCTTAGCTAATTTTGGAGGAAAGGTATGACTTCAGTGATTTCATGCACGTTAAAATGAAGTACATTATTTTTTTTTAAAGGTTTTTATTGTGGATTCATTGAAAGTTTACAGGGCAGATCATCAGTTTTACATTCAACAAATTATACACCTTGTTTCATTACAGTGATTATAATCCCCTCCGTGTACCATCACTTAACAATATTTCTCTCTATCCACTTTATCTTTTTTTTATTACTTATTTAAAAAAACAACAACAAAACCCATTCAGGCATATATAATAACTTATATCTCCAAAGGGCACATTCTGCAAGTCTGCCTCCTGGCCACCAGCTCTTAGTCCCTCTCTTCCCATGAATCTCGAGTCCTCAGCTGCTCCCCTTCTCCAGGATTCCAACTCTGCCTCCGTCTCTGGCGCTGCTGCTTCTCTGGATAAAGGTCCTGCATTCTCCTTGTGCGCTTCTCCCTTGATGGTACTAGGGTCCTCTGTTTCTGGACTGTAAGATTAGCCACTTCCCTGTTTTTGTTACAAAACTTTTATCTTTACATTTGTGACAGTCACAATTAGTCATAATAACAAGTATTCACTGTTGAATCCTACGACTCTTATCCCCATCTCTTTTCACCAGACCCATCTAGACAAGATGAAATCTGTTCAGTGGGGACTCTTTCTTTCCCTCCATACTCTTAAACTAAAATCTAAACTCCCTCTTGAAACCTTGTAAGCCAGTCACTTCGTGCCTTTATTGCCCCCTCATTTTAGGTAGCCAATGTCTAAATTGCCCGTCTCTATCTACCCTGTGTACAGAAGGGATAGCATTGATACTTCCCTCTCTGTTGGTATTTAGAGTAACTGAGGTAGTCAGGTTCTTCAAATTATAGCAGTAATTTACCCTTGTTTCCTTTATCCAAAAAAAAAAAATAATAATAAATAATAATAATCTTCCTCTAGTGGAGTTCTGATTATCGAACCATCGAGGTTAGGTCAAATGGGTACTGTCTGCAGGTTTGGGTGCTCTTGTGCTACTCCACTCACTTCATATCAGCTTGATGCTTCACTCTCAGCTCTAGCCCTCTGTGGCTATGTCCTCGTCCATGGACTCAAGTGTCGTCAGGTCTCACCATACTTTGAACCAACCAGCCCTTCCTCTTCTCGTTCTCATCTCCAGGTCAACGGGAGTCAATGTATTGTGGTTGAACTTAGCCCATTTCTTCATTGCTGCCTTTCCCCCTCTTCCACTCACCAGTATACCATTGTGGTTGCCAGCAAGCTTACATGCTTGTTTGTGTGTTCCCTTTGAGTTTCAATCTTAGAGGGGAGTTTGTCCTGAAGGAACTTGCTTTGATGTCTTCCTCATGAACAGTTTGCTTATTCTTGCAGTAGCCAGTAATGCTGACATTTTTGTTTTGGGTTTTTCCGGATTATCTTTCTTTGAAGATATATCTTCTGTCACTGTAGTTGTTCCAGGCTGGTGTACTTGTCCTTGCTAGTGGGAATGTCCCACCTCATAAGGTTCTGGATGGGACTCAGGATTCCACCTAAGATCCTATACTTTGTAAAGGCTTTGCAAGAAGCCTATTTCACTGGGCAAGTTCTAGAACCCCTTTTAGGTATTCCAATCAGTTATAGGCTGAAGACGGGCTT